TCAAAGTCAGAGTGTGCTTACTAAGGTAGCACACACTACTACATGGTGTACCTGTGTAACTGTGCTGTCACACACACAGTACAGGGCTGCAAAGTATGGCTGCTCTGGTGTTTCATACATTTGTTTGATATTTTTGTGGCATTGTTTAACTAAAAGCAACTACATACACTATTTGAAGCACTGTCACATGCAATCAAGAGATAATGTCAATGGAATTGCATGTTGTCACAGGGTAACAGCCTCCTGCTGTTGCTGAAATGCCAAATTGAAGCTGAGGCATTTATGGAAAATAAACGTCAAGTCAAACCAAGATGTTTATTTTAAAAACAAGAGACATGGATCTTGTGGCAATGTTCCATCATGTCTCTATTTCTCTAATAACAAAAGTCCAATATGAATAGAGCCAAGTGACAATTTCTTTCTGGGACAACACACAGAAGGTGAAGACTGATCACCTTACATGAAGACTTGTAGAATTGTTTTTCATCTGCTTTCCTGCTGTTCAAGTTTTAGTCAAACTGTCCAGGTAACCAACACAAAATCATTTCCCAGAAGCATGCTAAGTTTACAGAGGGATTTAGGAGGTCAGTGGGAAGAAAAGGGATAGCAAATGCATTTTTAATTTGCTTTTACATGGATATTTTTCTCAAGAGAAAGAATTACAATAACATGAAGATCACTGCAGTCAATGGGACATCTTCCAGGCACTTCAGTGGGCTTTGACTAATGTCTTAAGAGAGCAAACAGTTAATATTTTAAGAGGATATTATATTAATATTGGTGGTGCCTGAATATGATTGCAATGAGAGCATGACTGAACCAAGGCTGGATAAGGAAGACAAGATCCTTCTGGGTCATAAGCAGCAGCACAGTCACCCCTTGCTCCTGGCAGGCAACAGCTCACCCCAGCTGCTAGCCCATGGGAGATTTCTGCTCTCTGTATGCCAGCCTCACAGCCACAGAGAAATGGCTCCTCGACTTCATTTATCCAGTAAAGGTTCCTCAAATCCAGCTGGTTACCCAATAACAAAGATGACAGTTTATTCTTCTTTGCATGGAAAAAGCTGAAGGTTAATGGATAAGAAACAAGTTGCTGGGATATGGTAAGAAACCATGTTAAAGATGAAATTAAGAGCTTGAAAAATTCAGATTTCAGTCAGGATGCAATTTGAATCCAAGTTGAGGATTAGAGTTTTGTCAAACCGAACTGTAAAGGTCTGAGTGATGAGACATCCAGTGATACTCATGGCAACACAGTGGGTTTGACATCCTAAAAGCTCTTTCAGATATTCATATCAAATTTTCCCTTTCATCGCATTACCACTCATTAAACCTCCTAGTATTCATCTAAATTATTCCTCTCCCTCCCTGATAATTTTGTCTTCCTCCAACTACATTATGTCTTCAACAAAGTAAAATTGTCTCTTCACTCTGCCCATCTTCTAACCCAATCATCCTTCATCTTCATCACCTCTCTGTCAACATCCTTCCTCTCCAACCAACCTCAGAGCGCCACGTAAGAGTGACAAGACATGACACTCAGAGCTCAGGGCATCCCTGGAGATCCAGGGTTGGGCTCCATCAGCAATTTACTAGCTTGTCCCCAGAACACAGATCTGGCAACAGCAAATCCACGGCCCCCAGTGCTGCCCCAGCCACTGCCACAACAAAGGAACGGGTTAACCCCAGTGCCAGCCCCAGTCCAGGCTCCTGCCCCATGGCTGGTGCTGCTGACATTCTGCAGGGCAGGCCTGTGGATGTTGATGCATACCCATGCAATAGGACCCTCATCATGCAATCTGGTTTTGCATGGAGGGAGAGGCAAGAGGACAAGCAGGAGCCATGCAAAAGCATCTCAAAGGACTGGGTTTAAAAATACACTTAGATAACACACTTCAGTTCCTGAAATTTCAAAGCTTCACAGCTCATGCCAAGAGTTCCTCAAATGCAATACATTTTTATTTTCATTGGATTTCATCATTTTTATTTCATTTTCATTATTATCTTCTGTGCAACATAACACTGATCTGTCCCAATAATTACTGAGAGTTTGGGCTTTTTTTTTTTAATGACTTCCAAAGGAAAAATAAATTTATTGCTCATTAAAAACTGTGATTGGGAGGACAAGGAGAAACAATCCATTTGTTCTGGAAGTTTTTCTCTTGACCTGACCGCCTTAAATAATATACAAACAGCTATATTAAAATCATGTTAAGGAGCTGCCTGAAATTCAAAAAACCAGGGAAATCTTGAGTTGAAGGAGACTTGCAAAAGGTAATGCTCTGAAAAGGGTTAAGCCTGCAGTGATTGCTTGGCTGCTCTGTGCTGCAAAGGCCAGAGGGATGTTCTGTACAGAAATCGTAAATTTGCTTATTTTTTCCTTTGGAGATGCATTGTTTCCCAAAGACATTCTGGCTCCAGCTCTGATCTGGCATTCCAGATTGATGCTTGTTGAACCAACAAAGATGCTGGGAAGCAATGCTTGATTACGCGCCTTGTGGGTAATTGCATGGCTGCATTTCCTTTACTTCTTCAACCTTTACAGTGGGCTGAGGATCTCCAACTGGAGATTTGACAGGACAGCTCAATAGGCAAAGAGATGGAATTTGATTAGGTTATGTTTTTTATTAACTGTATAAAGACACTTTAGCAATAATGGATCTGAGCAGATGGATGATGCTCCAGGAATAGCAAGTAAAACTACTACATGGTACCCCCAATGCTGCTTCCCACTGTCAGTGTCATCTTCTGAGGAGTATTTAAAATTTGATCACATTTTAATCTGGCTGATGTTGCACTAAAATGGAATATGCACATTCACAGAATCCATCTGGGAGTCTCAGCTGTGAAGGCTTTGGTGCAGTGATGCACCACAGGGCTGGTACCTGCTTTAAGTGCTCCAGCTAGAAGTAGAAATTTAAAAAAGCATTTATACCCCAAAGCTCCACTGTTCTAACCTGGTTTTAGATATTACAGATACCAGTCCTGGATAAATATTCCTAGCCACAATACTTTGGCTTTTCATTCAGCATAATGTCTCCCTCTGTCCCTGGAGTTGCCATGCCTACCTCTGCTCCCACCAAAGAGGGTCACACTTTGGTCCAGGAGCAGACAAGCAGTGAAGCAAAATCCATGGGAACGGGAGGGAATGGTTTGCTGAGCAGCAGGTCCATGCTGGTGTGTGGGTTTTAGTCAGGGTTAAATAAACAGCGTGTAAATAAATAAATAAATTGCTCCTAGGTGGTGACCTTGTAAATCAAGTCTAAGCCTGGAAGGGATTTTTAAGGTCCAGCTCGAGTGGCAAAGCAGCTTTACCAGAATAAATATACATTTATTTATTTATTTATTTATTGGGGTGGGGGGGGGGGTTTTGTTATGTAGATGTGAGCCAGAACAGCCCTTTAGCAACTGTAACCTGTGCAGCCCAGGGGATCAGAGGGTGATCAGGCTTCCTTATGTCCTCTGCCCTGTCAGTGCTCAGAAGATGGAAGATCTACACTCTGCTGTAAATGTGGGTGGCCCAGAAGTGACAGTGATCAGGGTTACTGCAGCAGAGTGTTGGGTACTGTTGGACACTGTGGTTCTTGCATCCAAACCAGCAGCCACATGGGAAGGGAACCAGCCACCAGTCCCACTGCTGCTTGTAAGTGGATTATTGATCCAGAGTCAGGCTGGCAGCAGCACAGCCAGGTTCATAGTGCTCAGAGAAAGAATTGTGCTACAGGCTGAAGGGGAGCATGGCTTGTGACACACATCCCAGAGCTGTAATGAAAACTGCTGGCCTGATTAATTCCTGTGCACTGGAGGCAGTAATTTGGCAGCTCTGTAATCCTTGCCGGCAGCCATGAGAGGGAGCCCAGCCCTGCCAGATCACCCTGGCTCCAATATGAAATAAAACATATTTAGCAGGTTGCACCCACAGTATTAAAACTCTTTTGTTCTCTTGCTCACACAGAACTTGGTTGCATCTTACAAGGAGACTCGGAATGGACTGGTGGGCATGGATTACTCAACCAAATTTGCACCGTGGTAAAGATTTTTATTGTGAGACTAGAGTCTCCCTTTCTGCTCTCATGCTCACTGGGCATGGATAAGGTCTAGGTGTGATTCCTTTTGCCCTTTTTGTTGGGGTAGAGCAGCTTCAGAGCTGCTCTTTATTGTGCTTCCAGGCAGTGGTTCCCTGGGAAGGTTCCTGCACGTAGGAATTGCTGAAGTGTGGCAGGGCTGTGCCAAGAGCCCAGTGTGCAGGGGTGTGGACAGGACACTGGAGAAACACACCACTTGTCTTTGGCTGTGTGCTGGTTTGTGCATCAGGAGTTGTTGAGAGCAGCCTGGGGAGAAGTGTGTTGATCAGGTTGGAGGAGAACTCAATCCAGCCCTGGTTTGCTGAGCACTCCAGAGCAAGTCACCTCACTTCACTGCCATTCTCTTTTTCTGTGGGGTGAAGAGACACTTGTGATTATTGCTATTGCAAAAGCATCTCTTGTTTGGGTAAACACGATGACTTTTAATGAGAGGTTTTAGTCTCCAGGGGGGGGGGGGGCGGAATTACTGCACTTTCCCGTTGCTCCCAAACTGCTGTGGAGAACATTTTGGTGCTGCTGTAAGACATGTTGATGATTGGAAAAGAAGAGAGAGAGGGGAACTCGCTCTCATTTACACAACAGCTGCTTCACATTATTTTAAGAGGTCTAAAAGAGGAGTAAAACAGTTAAAGGCACCCAAGGGTAATCTTCCAGCTTTGGAGCCAAAAAGAGAGCTGAGCAAGTAAATGAAAATCCAGCCCAGCTAGTTCCTAGCAGCAGGTTTCATGGAGGTAGATGGGAGCTGGGCAGGGATTTGCTTTCAGCCTGTATCATCTGGGCATTACAGCCCTGGGATGCTTCTGGTACTTTATTGCTCATGACCAAGTAACAGCACTAATACTTGGAGCAGTGCTTAGATTTAGTGTGGCTTCACCGGACTGGGAAAAGCTACTGGCTGCATTTTAAAAAGTCCAGATGCAACAGAGGAAAGCCAGAAACGGGGGCTGGGACTTCCACCTCCCAGCCCAGCAGTGGATGCTGGAGAAGACGGAGCAAACGGGGTTTGCAACAGGGAAAAGCCACACGCCCTGCGCGGAGCTGGTGGCACCGTCCCCGCAGCTCAAAAGTTTTACCTGTTTTCCATTCAATAGCAGGACTTGGGGAGCTGGCAGGAAGCAGGGGAGGTTCAGGTTAGGGATCAGGGAAAGGTTTTTCACCCAGAGGGTGGCTGAGCACTGGAACAAGCTCCCCGGGGAAGCGGTCACAGCACCAAACCTGCCCGAGCTCCAGATCATGGTGTGATTCTTGGGGTGCCCTACACGGGGGACAGGAGCCGGACACCTGACGATCCTGCTGGGCCCCTCCCAACTCCCCCCATCCTACGATTCTCTGTGACGTCCCTAGGGATTCGCCACGCACGTCGCGGGGGCCGGCGGGGCAGCTCAGCCCACAGCGCTGCGCCGGCACCCGGGGCGGCAGCCCATCTTCGGGCCACAAACCT